CGCGGGGGCCTGCCGGAGGCGGAGCCGCGCGGGGTCCCCACCCCCACCCCCACCCGGAATCCTCGCCGGGAGAAGCCCGGGAGCCCCGGCGGGGAGGAGGAAGTGCCGCCGACCGCCCCTTGCCCCGCGCTGGGCCCGCCCCCGGCCGGCGGATTTGGGGAGCCGCGGGACTCTGCCTCGGACACCATGAGACTCGAGACGGGAGCCCCCTCGAGGTGAAGCCGCCGAGTTCCCGGGCCTCCGCCGGGCGTTCCCGCGGGGAGCCGAGGGACCCCCCTCCCGGCACACGCAACTTCCCTGCTTTTCACCTGGGACTGGCGGAGCGGCCGCCGACTTGGACGCGGGACCTAGGGGGCAGCGGGCGGCCCCCCAGCCCGGGTCGCCGGTCGGGCGGGGGGACGTGCCCCGAGCCCCCAGCCCCAGCCGCCCTCCGATGGCGCCGCCGGCTGAGTGAGGGAGGCGGCGCACCGGACTTCCCCGCCCGGACCTCTTGTCTTCGCGGGGAAGATGTACGAGAGTGTGGAAGTGGGGGGGCTCACCCCCACTCCCAACCCCTACCTGGTGGTGGATTTCTATAACCAGAACCGAGCCTGTTTGCTCCCGGAGAAGGGGCTCCCCGCCCCGGGTCCCTACTCCACCCCGCTCCGGACTCCGCTTTGGAATGGCTCAAACCACTGTAGGTACCGGCCCCCCTCCCATTGTAGGAGCCGGGGTGGGAGTGGGCGGTGGGGCGTCCTGGCCTCTAGGGCCTGGGGGTGTGGCGAAGGTGTTTCCATCCTTCACTGTCTCTTGCTGGACAATTGAACCCCTACCCCCACCCACCCCCAGTAACCCTGGCGTTATTTCTGTTATATTAGGACTGAGGGACTGGGGTGGGGGGCTTAAGGGTGCCCTCCCTTCAGGGAACATTTGTTCATCACTTCTTCCAGGGGGAATGAAGCCACGACCCCCAGTTTCTGTCCCCTTGCTTGGAGGCCAATGGTTGCACAGCCAATGGACCTTTCTCCCACCCTCCAGAGTGGGTTAAAGGTCCTCCCTGGGCTTGTCTGCTCCCAGGAGGAGGGGCCTCATCCCAGACCCCACCCCTGCCAGAGCCTGGAGAGAGTCCCCTGTGGTGTGACAGCTGCTGGCCTCTGCCCTCGGCTCCCCTAGTGTGGGTGTCGAGGGAGCCCTGGGGGTCTGGTATTGGCCGTGAGGTGTGGCAGGCAGGGGCAGCTTCATCAGACACCGTCTGCTGTCCTAACTGCCCCAACATCTTGGCGAAGGGCCCATGTCCGCTGAGGGGTGTCTGGCTGTAGGCTTTGAAGCTTCTGACGCTGGGATGAAGGGGAGACCCGGCACTCCCCTGCTGGGAAGACTTCCCCTCCCCCAGTCTGGTCTTCTGGGGCTTGAATTTGTTTTCTGTGATTATGGGGCTACTCTGGAAAAGAACCTGTTCTCTTCCAACCCAGCTTTCATTTGTTACCCTGTTTTCATTTGGGGGTAAGGGGTGCTGATGAGAACCCCATGGGCCTGCCAGCCCCTCGCCTCTTGTTGCTGCCATCTGTCTGGGGTCAGACTCCTGGCTGCAGGGTCTCTGTGCTGGCTGAGTTGGGAGCACCTGGGGTGCACACCTGGGCATGTTCTTGCCCAGCTGTGGTGTACCTGGGTGGGAGGGAGCGGGTTACTGTTCCAGGACTCTGCGGGGTTCTGGTCTCTTCTCTCCTCTGGGGCTTCTCCCACCCTCCCAGACCTGCGGCCCCTCCTGTCAGCAGAGGAGGGGGGCCGGGTGGGCCCCTGGGGGCCTGGCAGAGTGGAGATGGTTGAGAGCCCCTCTGGCCCTGTGTTCCTGCTAGAGACTGAGGTAGACACCCACCTGTACCTTTCTGGAAGCCACCAGCACCCAGCCCTCTCTGTTGTCCTGCTCCCTGACCTTTGCCTGGGGGCCGAGCTGGAGGGAGGCTGCTGAGCTGGAGGGAGGGGCGTGACCTTGGTTGACTGGGGCAGAAGCAGAGGTGAGAGGTGTGAGGCTGGACCCCCGCTCCCTGCTGTCCCAGAGCTGGAGGCAGGTGTCCCGTCCTGCAGGACTAATTGGGGCAGGGCCCGGTCACCCCTCTCACCTTGGCTGCCTTTTCCTGGGGTCTGGGGAGCAGCGGGCTGTGGAAGCCTTGGGCCCCAGTCCCTGTCTCTTTATCCCTTGGTGCAGCTCTGCTCTCCTGAGTCTGGGCTGAAGTGGAGGAGGCAGCACTGAGGAAGGGAGGCTTGTCCCCTACCGCCCCACTCCCGGCGCCCCTGGGGTTCTGCCTGTGTGTGCCAGTGGGCCGAAAGGGCTGTGTGTAGGGCTGTTCAGGAAGGACCCAGTGCCTGGAGTCCTCGGGGTGACCACTACAGCCTCCAGGGAGCTCTTGGTGTGTGCGGAGGCCCTGTGGTGACTGGAACCCTCCAGCCCCTTCCCCCCAATTCTCCACTCTGCTGCCACTTCCACCGAAGGTGGGGAGACTGCCCGTTGGCTGGGAGGAGACCTGGGTCCTGCAGGGCTCCAGGCACCTAGCTCCCCTCCCTAGGATCCCCGTGGTTTGGGTGCACTGGAGGACAAGGGGTACACAGGATGTGGCTCCCCAGCTGTCCCCCACCAATCTCTGCTGCTCACGCCTCCGCCCGCTCCCAGACGTCCAAGAATGTGAAGCACGTGGATGCCCGTAGTGGGGGGGAGGGGGAGCGATGCTTATCGCGGGGCGCAGGGCTGGGGGCCTGCTTCCGCTGAGCCGCTGGAGCCGGAGCCACCCCCCCCCTCCCGGGGAGGATGAAGGGCAGTGCTGGGGGGTCTGCACCCCTTTCCCGCCCTCCCCCGGGCTTCGCGGGGAGCTGCGGAGGGAGGCGCGGGCGCCTGCTGTGGATTGGGAGGGGAGCCTGGCCGGGGGCCCGGCTGATTTCCTGCTGATCTCCTCCAGGAAACCGCCGCTGCAGCCCGCGAGCGGCTGGGGGCGCGGGGTAGCCGCGCTCGCGCTTGCAGCCCGCGCAGGGGGGGCGGGGTGGGACGCCGGCTGCCTGGGCGGGTTCCAGCCCTGCGCTGGAACTTTGAGCCGAGAGGTGTGGCGCTTCTGCTGCCCCGTCCTGCAGGGAGAGGCCAGAGGCGAGATTCTGGGTTGGGGCCTCCGGGGAGGGAGGGGCCGGGCCTCCAACGTCCAGCCGCGCACTCTTCTGAGAGGGCAGGAGTGAAAGTGGTCCTAACCCTTGCCCAGGCTGTGAGGGGCCCAGCGGCCCTCAGCCTTTGGCTGGAGGCCTGGGAGGTGGGAACTGGACTGCGCTCTGGGTTCAGAGGGCGAGTGGGAAACCTCAGTGTTACCTGGGTGACAGGTGGGACACTGCTGGCCTGGGGTGTGTTGGGATCTCAGAGACTGTGCTGCTGCAGGGTGGGTACTGGGGGCCCTTACCCACCCCCAAACTGAAGCCCCTGTTACGGGTAGCCCCCCTCATTTGCCAAACACCATCTTAAAAAGCACGTTTTTCCCGTTGCATCAACACCCCGGACTTTGCCCCCTCCAGGTTTCTGTGGGCCTATGCTGGGCTGCTCCCGCCCACGCTTTTCTGTCTGTCCTCTGCTGTTTTCTTGTCCCCTCATGCCCGACCTCCCTCCAGGCTGCACCACAGAGCCCCCACTGCCCTGCTTTCCTTCAGTCTGGTCCATGTTAAAGGTGGGGCTTTGGGGGACGGCTGGCTGGGCCAAGGGCTGGATTGAGGGGTTGAGGGGAGGCTTGGGAAGGGGAGTCTGCCTTAGCCCTCAGCTTGTTGGAGCTTAGACTGTGACTCTAGGCCAGGGTCCCCCCTTGTCCTTGACACCCCCCCAAGTCCGGATTGTCTATTGTTACTCCTTTTACGTCTTGGAAAAAGTTAGCACAACAAAGAGTTCCTTTGTCACTCACCCCTCTGCCTCCTGGCCTCACCCAGGCCCCCAAACCCTCCCCACCCCAAGCAGCTGTTCCCAGGCCCGCTCCTGCCTGGTGATTTGCTGTCTGGCCTGGGGAAGAGCGAGGTGGGGGAACCGAGGTGGGGGAACCGAAGCAGGCAGCCCAGTGCTGGGGAGAGGTCAGTGAGTGTCTGGGCTGGTGGGGGTATGCATACCCACGGCTCCTTTGCTGCAGGCTGGTCTCTGGGCAGGGACAGGCGTGGGCCACAGCAGTGCTGGGCAGCCAGGCTGACCAGGGAAGTGGTGCCCAGGCCCCAGTAAGAGCCAGGAAGGCCCTGCCAAGGCTTTTGGCCCGGCTTTAACTCACTGCCTGGCATCTGTAGGTAGGGACAGGGAGTGTGCAGCCAGCCCCGTGTCCAGGTGCTTCTTGTGTTGGTGCCTGGACTTCAAGGTCACGTGACTGGGGCAATAAGGTGCTGGGCTGGGAGATCTGGGTCCCCATGCATGCCAGAGCCTGGTGGGTGGGAGTTTGGGGGTGGTATGTAGGATCTGGACTGTGGGAGGAGCCTGAGATCCACCTACTCAGGGAGACACCTTAGGCAGGTGGACTTGGTTGTGAAAGCCCCAGGAAGACACCTAGTGGCCCTTTGGGAATCTGGGGTGACCAGGGGTTGCAGTTCTCCAGCAAAGCTCAGCTCCAGCTGTCCAAGCTCTGGGCAGACACCCCCCCACCACCACCACAGCCCCCTTATGCTTGGGGTGATGGGCATTGGGCCAGACACTGGGGAGGATAGTGGAGGCTGCCCCTTCTGGCTGGGTCACCCTGCCTGGCTGCCCTCTTGGAGATGAATAACAGGAGGGGAGGAGGATAGTAACCCGGACATAGTTTTGAGGCCAGACAGACAGAGCATTGATGGAAACAGACCCCCTTTGTCATGTTGCTTCCCCCCAGACAGGGGGCACCCAAGCAGTTGGTTTCCGGGGCCCATGGGGACTCTTCTTCCTGTCTTCCAGGGGTCCCCTGCTTATTTCAGGGAGTCCCTGCCTGTTCTCCCCACATTTGCTACTTTTTATACACCCTGCCTAGGGTCCCAGGCCTGGGGATTGTTTTGGTGGAGGAGGGGCAGTGGCTGCTGGCAAAGGGGGGTGGAGAGGGGAGCTGAGAGGGGAACGGAAGCAGAGGGGGTGGAGGAGTGGCCAGCTTTGAATATCCTGTTGACCCCAGTTTCCTCTGCCCCCAGCTTGTGTCCTCCTTCCCTCCCTCCAGCAGGCCTTAACTCCTTCATAACTTGGGGGGAGATGGTGCCAGGCGACCCCAGGGCCCGGCCGGCCGTACAGCCACGTGCCAGACTCACCCCTGCCCTCAGTGGCAGCGGGTCCACAGAAGAATCTGATGGTTTATAATCTGGTCTTTCTGATTTTGGAGGCGGTTCCTGAGGGAGCAGACCAGAGTGCTGGGTGCTAGGGGCTTCACCTGCACCCGCATTCTCCCCCTCTGGCCAGGAAATCCCAGCGTCCTGCAGCCTCTGTCCCTGCACTGAGTCTGAGTCCTGTGGTCGTGGTGAGGCTGGGACTCCTGGGAGAGCCCTTGAGGCAGGGGCCAGTGGGTGCCAGGTCTCTAACAGCACGCCCTTCTTTTCTCTCTAGCCATAGAGACCCAGAGCAGCAGTTCAGAGGAGATCGTGCCCAGCCCCCCCTCACCACCCCCCCTGCCCCGAATCTACAAGCCTTGCTTTGTCTGTCAAGACAAATCCTCAGGCTACCACTATGGGGTCAGCGCCTGTGAGGGCTGCAAGGTGAGTTGAGGGGTCACTGGGAAGCACAGCCCTGGTTAGCTAGATGGGTGGCGCCGTGTCCTGTGAGGATGTCCCCGAGGGTCGTCCCTGAAACCGCTGCTCTTGCTTCTCTGCAGAAGGTGGTCGCAGCCTCAGAGGGGAGGAAGCCTGTAATAGACCGCCCCATAGAGGAGCAGGGGTCCCCCAAGCCAGAGGTCCCCCCCCCTTGCCTGAGCTCCTTTCCCATCTCCAGTCTCCATCCTCCAGCTGGCAGGGCGGATGCCAGCTCTGCCACCGCTGCCCAGGTTGCCATGGTGAGCTGGCTGCCGACAGGCTCTTGGCTGGGGACCCAGGCGGCCTGCCCCCGCGGCCTGCCTGAACCTCGCCATGGCAGCCTGGCAGGAGGCACCTAGGAGCCAGCGCCCTGCCTTGGCCTCTCCTTCAGGTGTCGGCTTGTGGGCTCCCCTCCTGGGGCCTGGCTGCATTTCCCTGGGCCCACGGTGAGCTTGGGGTGCTGTGTACGCCGCCATCCCAGCCGCTCTGGACCCGACTTCTCCCCCGGGCCTGAGCCTCTGTTCCTGTTTCTTCCCCTAGAGTTGGGGGCTCAGCAGTTGCACAACTTTGGGGCTTGGGGTTCTGGGCTGCCCCTCAGCTAGAGTCACTGTCCCCAGGATGGGGCCGAGATCAAGGGCCAAGCATAAGGCCTCAGACCGTGTGTCTCCTGTCCTGCCTGGACTTCCCATTTGCTCCCCGCCTGGCCGCCTGTCTGGGTGGCCTGTGTGTGCAGCCCCCGCCCAGCCTGCGCTGTCTGCGATCGGTGTGCAGCCGTGCCCGCTGGCGAGCGTGTGCTGCCCTTGACAGGAGCATGTGTGCGGTCTCCCCCTCTGGCCTGGGTCGCCTCCAGCTCCCCTTCTCTTCCTTTGCCTTCAGCCAGCTGGGGTTCCAGCTACCTCTCCTGGCTAGCCCCCCTCCTCCCTTCCCTGATTCACAGTGGGCCCAGGGTCAGGGGAGGAGCCTGGGGCTGGGCTGGGGAGACCCCTGCCCTAGTGGTAGGGACCCTTTCTCTTGCCTTACCCGGTTTGCTCAGGTCGCCAGTGGTCGCAGGCTTGGGGACAGCTGTTTCCCTGACAGGCCGCAGAGTGTGGCTGACCTGACTCCCTCCCCTCCATACCCAGGGCTTCTTCCGCCGCAGCATCCAGAAGAACATGGTGTACACGTGTCACCGAGACAAGAACTGTATCATCAACAAGGTGACCCGGAACCGCTGCCAGTACTGCCGGCTGCAGAAGTGCTTCGAAGTGGGCATGTCCAAGGAGTGTGAGTGCCCGCGGCCGCCTGGGCTCACTGCTTGGCAGGGGGTGGGGCGCGCAGGGCTAGCGGGTCCCTGCGCCCAGGAACTTGCACCCGTGTGGGGTGAGGCCTGCGGTGAAGGAGGGCTGCCCGGCCGTGGCGTGCTCCAACCAGCGAGTCTGTGCCAACTGGCTTGCCTCGGGCCTTGCTTGACTGGGTGTGGCTCAGGCATACCTGAGTCCCTCTGCAGGTTCGGTTTTTGAGGGGCCCACAGTGAGGGGTGCCTGTTGGTGTGTGTACTGGGAGTGCTGGCATGGATCTGAGCGCCATTGTCTGGTGGAGCTGGGACCTGGAGTAGGACGCGAGAGCTGGGGCTTCATGGGTCCCAGAGGGTTGGGGGCTTCCAGTTTGGGCTCAGCTGAGGCCTGATGGAAGAGGGAGGAGGACTGGACAGGGAGACCCTCTTGTGTTGAATCATGGGTGTTGCCTTGGTGACCGGTGATTGATGATGTCAGAGATAAATGACGCTGACAGACGCCTCCTTGTCTGCGTGGCCGTTGCCATGGAGCCTGAGCCTTGGGGGATGGGGTGGAGGAGGGGGCTGCAGGACCCCTAGCCCTTCCTGGGGGAGGGCATTAGAACAGGGAAGTGGGGAGGGGACTTGGGGGACTTGAGGAGCTCCGCTGGGTGGAGGGCCTGGTACACCCTGCCTCAGGAGGGGAGACCAGGCCAGGCAGTGAGGACTGGCCTCAGAGCCAGGAGGAAGCAGCCTCCGGCTGCAGTGGTGGCGTGGACTTGGGGCCTTCACGCCTCCTCCCTCCTCCTCCTCCTCCTCCTCCTCCTCCTCCTCCCCCTCCTCCTCGGCCACCTTGTGAAGCACAGAAGGACCAGGGTGGGGACCCCTCTCCCTCCCACTGCCAACTCCCCCTCCCCCCCCCTCCTGTGGCTGCTCTGTGCCCCGGAGCTGAGCAGCTGCCATTTCAATAGAATTAAAGCTTCCGAATGATAAACGTCTTGTCACAGCTGCAATTTTCTCTTCCCAAATTATCCCCCCACTCTCCCTCTCCCTCTCCCTTCTCTCCCTTGCACTTTATTGAATTT